TTGTGCCACTCACTTATTTATGATTATTGATGGATTAGACAACAGCGTCAGAAATTCAAAACCCTACCTGTGGTCTGGCTGCTGCTTAATTGGTGTTCATGACACTTGTTTACTTTGTTCTCTGAGTAGAACGGCTGTATTTTTACACACAGTTGAAATCTATTTATTAGGTGACTTCTGAAAGCTACAGGCTAAACAAGATTTTTTTTAGAGGTGTCGGAGTAAAGGGGGATGAATAAATGGTTATGCCTCACTCCTATAGTATTTAATATTAAAGAAAATAGTAATTAAACATTTTTGCTCTACTGAAAGTTTTTTTTTTTTTTTTCTTGGTTGACTCAAAAATCCATAGAAATTTGTGTTTGTAAAGTGGTAAAATGTGAATACTATTCAGGGCACTGTCTAATACTTATTACTGTTTCATATGTAATTAAAATGGGTATGAAATGATCCACATTGGCATCTCTTTCCCAAATGTCCCACACAACATAACACGGTGACAGATCAGACAGAAAATTAGAGCAACGCATCAAAACAACATGATTCAAGATGCTCATCGCATGAATATTGTTTATTATTATCATTATTATTATTATTGGACAGATACAGTCTGCATATAAACAGATGCAAACAACTTTGACATTTTTCGAACCTCACCGAAACATTTGGAGGATTTCTCATCAAAATGTCTACATGAACCCACAATTCTTTTAAACTATAGGCCAATTTCTAAGCTTCCCTTTATCTCAGAAATGGTTGAGAAAGTGGTTTATGATAAACTGATGGCCTTTTTGGAAGAGCATTAGATTTTAGAGGTTTTCAGTCTGTTTTTTAAATGTTATATAGAATTGGTTCTTTTAAGGGTTTTTAAATGATATTTTTTTTGCTACAGATTCTGGTGACTGTGTGATTGTTGTACTTTTGGACTTCACTGCTGCTTTTGATACAGTCGACCACAAAATGTTACTTTCTCGTCTAGCACAGTGGGTTGGCATCAGGGATACGCCAAAGGATTGGTTTAAATCATATTTAGAAAACCAACCTCTCTGTGTCTCTCTTAGCAGTTATACTGTAAGTCTTCCACGGCTACCCTATTGTGTGGGGTGCCACAGGGCTCAGTTTTTGGCCCACTTCTCTTTGACCTTTAACTACTCCCCCTTAGCTCCATAATGATTAAGCATGGTGTCCATTTCCATTGTTATGCTGATGACAGCCAAATTTATATTCCCCTAAGCAAAAAAGAAGGGAACTCTATTACCTTGCTGTTAAATTGTCTTAAAGACCTGGATGGCCCTTAACTTCTTGAAATTCAACGAGAGTAAGACCGAGGTCAAGGTTTTTAGCGGCACATCTTGAGGTTCCCTTCACTGAGCTTGGTTCCTAGCCCACTTTAGGAAGTCGGTTATCACAAACCTTGGTGTCAAAATGGATACTGATCTTAAATTCGATAGCCAGATAAAGGCAGCAGTTTCTTTCAGTTAAGGCAGTTGGCCAAAATAAAGCCCATTCGCTCCAGAGATCTTTTAGAGACAGTAATCCATGCCTTTATGACTACCCGGCTGGATTACGGTAACGCTCTTTATTTGAGGGTTAGTGCTTCTAACATTGCTCAACTCAATAGAGTGCAGAGCACGGCAGCACGTCTCTTATCTGGCACACGTAAATATAAGAACTTTACCCCAATTTTAGCCTCATTACACTGGCTCCCTGTACATTTTAGGATTCATTTTGAAGTTCTTCTATTTGTTTTTAAGTCTCTCCATGGTCTTGCTCCATCTTATCTTTATGAGTTGCTGCACCTTTATGCACCCTCCCTTTCACTAAGGTCAGGCGATCAGCTGCTTCTTAAGATCCAAAAAATAAACGGAAGCTTAGGGGCGATCGTGCTTCTCTGTGGCAGCTCCAAAAATATGGAACGACCTTCCATTGCAAATTTAATTGTCTACTTCTTGGTCTGATCTTAAATGGCTCTTAAAAACTCCTCTCTTTGCCTTGGCTTTCTAAACTTTGTGAGATGTTGATTTTAGTCTGTGATACATTATTTTAAATTTCATTTCAATTTTATTGTAGATTTTAATTTTGTCTTTTATGCTTGTATGGTTTATTTAAGCCTACGTAACGGTGTTATGATGTTTCACTGTACAGCACTTAGGTCCTTTGAGGAATTTTAAAGTGCTTTATTAATAACATTGGTTTGGATTTTGTGTCCTTTTGGTTTCTGAATGATTTACTTCCCAAATGTGGATGAGAAACGATTCTCCACAGACAATATTTATTCATCTTCTACAAGCTGTCTTTACTTATGTCTTAAGCAGCACATTTTAAAGAGGATTTTATATCTTTATGAATCTGCTGTTGGCACAGCCTCTTAACAAAATCCTGGCTCTGAATGTGGCTGATATCAAAGCAACTCAGGGGATCGCTTGTAAACTGGTACAAATGATGAAATATGTGTCCAACAGGTGCAACAGTAAGTGAACTACGAATCATGAGGCTAAATACTGAATCATTTCAGAACCAGCAATATGTTTGATACCTACTCATTTTCTGGACGTCCTAAAAAGTAAATTCCAATTCTCTGGAGGAAATGTAAACATAAAATCAAAAATCCCTTTGAGGCACGATGTTTGGCTTTTAATAAAACCACGCATATGACATTTAAGGCAAAACCTTTAACAAAAAAACCAAACAAGTCCCTGAAATAATAATGTTTCCTTATATTTCTTTTTGTTTGTTTTTATTCTGGCTTCACACAGACCTATAACAAAAGCCTGCAGCTGTGTTTTCCTGTTTAGATGCAGAAATCTCTGATGTTCAGTCTGTTCTGCAGACCGTCCATCAACCCCAGAGAGAAGCACTTTATATAACAAAGCATTGTTTGGCAGACATGACGGGAACGGACAGATGGGTCAGACAAACACCGCTGGCGATGGTCTGTGACTGCTTATTGGCTTGCCAGCTTGTGTGTGCATGTGTTTTATAATTCTCTATTTGTGGCAAGTTTGTTTATTGGTGTGGGCCTTACTATTACTACTACTAAAGTATTATTCCGTATGAAAATTGTCTGTGCTCATCAAAAACTATTAATAAGTAAGATTGGATGATATTTTCAATTTAATTTATTTGTTACTACCAGCTGTTCAATGTAGCTGAAATGTTTATGTTTTTGCTTTCTTATTTCTGCATCAATGTGAATGATGTGAAGCCAACTTAAGGAAGCAGTTCACCTTTTCCGGTAGAGAACCATGCTAACTGACTCCCAAATCAGCTGCTTTGCAATTTCCTGTCATCAGAATCTGGTGGAAGACGTACAAATCCTGAGGCCTCACAACCTTAGAATAGTATGGTCATAAGATATAGATTATGACCAGAAGAATGATTTATGATCACCCTCCCAATAGGGTAGCTGGGCTCACATATATGGGAGCCTGTTTCTGCCACATGAAAATTAAAAAATAGAAATAAATTAATAGAAACGAACAATTATAAAATTCAAAGTGATATCTATATCACAATATGCTTTCATGTGGTGGAAACAGGCTTCCATACATAGAAGATATAGATATTCTGTTTTGACAGTTGGGATGCTCCTTTTGGAGGTTTTTTGGAGGAATCACTGCTACTTTCTGGAGGAACTAAATATAGTTTATGCTGTAGGATTCCCCTATACAAAGATGGGCAACTCACGTCCTGGAGGGCCAGTGTTCTTCAACTTTAAGATTTGTCCTTGGTCAAACACATCTGAATCACAAGGTTGAATTAAATTCTCAGTATACAGGTGCTCCAGAGTCCTGGTAATCAGCTAATTCAGTAGTTCTGAGCCCTGGTCCTCAATTACCTCTATCCTGCAGGTTTTAGGTGTCTCCTTGCTGACACACACCTGACTTATAAATTAAACCATCGTTTAGAGGCTTCTTCATCACTGGCTTCTGGGGAGGTCATGCAATCACTTTAAAGGGATAGTTCGGTATTTTTGACATGAATCTGTATGGCATCCCCATCACCAGTGTCATGCAATCACACTGACTTACCCCTGGCAGCATCCTGTGAGCAGAGTTCTCGTCCAGTTTTGGTCAAGCCGAAAGTAGTCCGGCAGGTTTGCTAGAGCCAGCGAAATAAAACGTTTCTCTTCCCAAAACATTATGTGTTCAAAAGAGTGACACAAACAGCGAGCTCAACAACAGCCAGATGCATGTCTCCCTCCGCCTAGCTCCTAGCTGGGCGGAGGGAGACATGCATCTGGCTGTTGTCAGGTTAGTAGGCCCTAGCTGTCTGAATGACGGCGCGCACTGATACGAACAGAGAGAAAATAGGACCAAGTGATAACGACGTGTGACTTTTTCCACTACAACGTTTTTGGGATGCAAAAATATCACTCTTTTGAACACATAATGTTTTGGGAAGAGAAAAGTTTTATTTCACTGGCTCTAGCAAACCTGCCGGACTACTTTCGGCTTGACCAAAACTGGACGAGAACTCTGCTCACAGGACGCTGCCAGGGGTAAGTCAGTGTGATTGCATGACACTGGTGATGGGGATGCCATACAGATTCATGTCAAAAATACCGAACTATCCCTTTAAGTGGGTGTGCTGCAGCATAAGACATCTAAAACTTGAGCACCAGGTTTGAGAACTATTGGAATTATATGATTTGGGTGTGTTTGAGCAGGAACATATCAAGTCTCTTGAAGACTAGAGTTGTCCATCACTGCTCTAGAATGGAGGGATGAGTTTCCCTCCTGAAACTGTTCGCATCCAACAGTTGCCTGATTGGGTTGTGGGCTAAGTCCAAAAATATTAGTAGCCTACATGTGAATGCTGCAAATTTATCTTAAATATTTTTCATTGTAATCTATGTATAGAAATGCATTATTAACAGTATTATTCTGGTATAAACTATTAGAACATAATTTCAGTCAATAAAAAACCTGTTTAAAACTTTTTTTTAAAATTAAGTGACTATCTTTTTCAAGTGTGGACTATGTCCTGTGCTTGAATACCTTTTCTCCGTTAGGGTTTCCCAGAACATAGCTTCCCATTATGTGGATCACATTTGGCTCGGGGTTGATTTTGCTCATGAAGCGACTCAATCTCCTCCAAAACCTTAAAAAAAACACAAGAATAAAAAGGACATCAGTGTTTCCTCCCCAAATCGAAGAGTTATTAACTGTTTTAAAATGCTGATAATTCACATAACTGATGAATGTAAAGAGAGGGTCACATGAGCAAAGGGAGAATCTTTGATGAAACTTGAATATTATAGGTTATAAGCTGAGAAATTAAGTAATAATAAGATTTTTAATACTATACATTAATTTTAAAAGCTTAGTGTTCTATGTGCCATCATAACTAAGAAAAGTGCTCTAGTGTGGAAAAAGGCAGCTTACTGGCTCATGTCTTCTTCTTTTTCCACCTTAGCAAAGGTTGCCACTTTGTTCTTCAACAGATAAAGATGACCAGGGCCTCCCTGTTTATCCACAACAAATACAAAAAGTTAAATCAGATGAAAGGGTTTATGGCAGGAATACAACACAAAATCTTGAATTTCCTTACTTGACAGAAGATAAGCATCCTCCAGAATTTGCTTCCTCTCCTGTACGCTGTGAGCTTCTTGTCTATTTCCTCTGTGAGCCATAAATAAAGCAGAATGAATTTTAGTGACCATGAACACATGAACAGACCATGGTCACAGGCAGAAACACACACACACATATATATATATATATATATATATATATATATATATATATATATATATATATATATATATATATATATATATATATATATATATATATATATATATAGTTTAGAAAGGATTTAAAGTGATCTTTAAACTGCTCTGTGTGAGCTTTATTTCAGTAGAGTAGATGAAACACTCCAGGGAGCTCTCAGTTTAGATACTCCTATCATCAAGAATCATTTACGAAAGCTCGTTTTAAATAACAGCAGGCACCTGAATTGGAAGGCTTAAATGTTATTTAAACACACATTATGAGCCAAATCGAAGCTATTATTTGTAGATTTAATTGCAGTCAGGTTTATCCCCGAGCTGTTTCCTTGACTTTTAACTCTCACTCTACAACAGTCAAGAGTTCAGACTTTACTCCTGCGGCAAACTTCTGCACAGCTGAGACTAAAGACTAAAGGTGGTTTGGCCTATTTTCAGATGGGGACTGATAGATTTATTTTACTCGCTTGCAATGCAATGATGCAAATCAGTTAGAGGATGGAAACAGTATCAGACTTATTTTGCTCTATATTTCTGTCAACTATCATTGTCAGATTATGCTCTGAATATGTCTCAGCCAGTGGTCCCCAACAGTGGTTCTCAGGATACTGTCCTGGATGCTATACGTAACTCTCTGTTCCAGAACAAATGACTCAAGGGTTTGTCTTACCCCCTTTGAAATCAAGTGATACAGAAGCCTGTTAATCACAGATCTATCTAAGCAGCAGCAGGGAAACACACAGAATATACTGGACAGTAGGATACATTGAACAGGACTGATCTAGGCCATTTAATTTTTTTTTTTTTTTTAGGAGTATGTGGACTAAAATCCCTCTCTAGGTGATAAATCTTTTAAAACTGTATAGCCTGTTAATTTTTCCTTTCTTTTTAAATGCTCAATTTGGGTAACTGGAGTACAAAAATGTGTACATATTTATCAATCAATCAAATTTTATTTGTATAGCACTTTACAACAACGCCAAGAAGACCAAGGTGTTTCACAAAAAGATAAAAACATTGTAAAAACAAAAATTCTATGTATTAAAATCCAGTTTGAAAAGCTCAGTCTTTAATCTGGTCTTAAAAAAGGGCAGATCTGAGAACACAGTGACCGAGGGGCAGGCTGTTCCACAGTTTAGGTGTGGTAACCAGAAAGAAACAATCGCCCCACTGTTTATACTGGGACCTGGGCACGTCTAGAACCATTTGATGGGCAGACCAATTTAATTGTTCTACATACTTGATAGTGAGACCTAGCCTGGCACCTTCTGCTCATGTCGACCATCAGTTTGATGAGGACATCCAATAACTCAACCAGCATTTGTCCCAAGGCAGCCATCATGGTCATGCTGATTACACTGGCAGGAGCAGCACTACCAAACTGATGGCACAATCATTTAAATGGGTTGACAGGAAGGCCACTCCATCCTATCTGCTCCCTAAGTATGGGGGTCTCTCTTATTTTCCAGTGAGAGATGTTGCTCCACACTTTTATAGTGCCATTTCCAAGGTGTTAATAATTCACATCAAGGAAAATTAAACAGGCTTGCTCTGAAATACTGCATCAGCATAGAAATAATGAACTAACCAGTATATTCCTTTATTTTGGTGCAAAGTTAGTATAAGGTTTGTATTAGTGCATGGCTGTATTTTTTTTTCGTGACTGATACCATTGGCACTAACTAAAGCATTCCAAAAATCTAGAACATGCTGTAGGGCCAGCAGAACCTTATTCCAGCTAAATTGGGCTCTATATAACCAATTGTAGGTCTGTACTAGAGATTGATCCATTCAGGCTTTTATTTAAGGCTAATGCAGATTAATTTGACTTTTGTCTGATAGTTCCCCAATTTCTGTTGCTGTTCTTTAGCATAATTTCTTGAAGCAGATATTGCTATTTATATTTCTGTTTAAATAATAGAAATTACACAATGACAACAAATTTTACACAAATCTCAATTTTGTCTTATTCAATTATTTTAATGACAAGTCAAGCAAATCATTGATAATTTCTATCAAAGAGGAAGCTGCAAAGCATGCATTTATGAGATCTCAAGGCATGACTGCTGAATGCATGAATAAATTGGCCAAAGCACGGATTCCCAAAACTATCCATCGGTCAAAGTTTCATTCTACCTCCAGCCTGTACCCAAGAACACTTACCAAAATATATCTAAAGGTAGTTGAAAAGTATTTGCTAAAAGGTTCACCATTTCTAGAATGAGTTTTTTCTAAATTTTTTGGTTACATTTGCAAATTTGTCTCATTTACGATTATTTATCAAAATGCAAATTTTACATAAAAAAACTGACATTTAACAGGGTTGTTTAAACTTCTTACATTTACTGTTTAAGAAAATGTTTTGAATTCTTGGTATTCTTAGTAAGAAACCGGTATACTTTTTTTCACTTCTATAAAGTGAATAATTTTAATTTAAAAAATTTCAGATTTCATTTGATTTTCAATTAATTATTTTCTTCATAAAAGAAATCATACTATACTTTTACAGTTTTAATGTATTTTTACTGTGAAAAAGGCTCTCTGAGCTGCAGGTAGTTTAAGATCAACCAGATTATTTTACAGTTATTTAAAATCGTCAGTCTCCACACGTCAGCCTTGTGTTGGTTATACAAAAATTATCTGAATTTTAGAATAAATTCACCAATGTGTTTGGTGTATTTCCAAACAAGCAAGTATAAAGGATTCAACAAAATAACTCACCCAAAATGTCATCAAAGGTTGCATGTTCATGGTCCTGAGAAGAAGCAAATTTCAGCACTGAATACCAAGCAAAAAACTTGAACTGATGGAAAAAAACTCATCATCACTAATCATCATGACTGAACGTGGTGACTGTTTTCTTCAGTGCACACAACATATAAATGCTTTAGTGTTGGACTTACATAGAGAATAGGGATGATGGACGGATCATCCCTGCGGATTATGGTGGGAATGTACTCCGCTTTGGGAACCTTGGAGGATATCAGCTAAAGTCGGAAAAAGGGATGGAAAGGATAGATTTGTGAAGGTATTTAAATGAAATCTACAGATTTATTCTAGTTGGCAATGTAGCAGACAAGACAAGAGGAATGTATATGAGCTCATAAAGTAGCAAAAACAAACGCAAACGCTTAAACTTAGCTCATAAACACCTTAAGTATTTCAGAGGCAAATTAATTTGTCCTTCTTTGTCAGCCTACATGATATATACCTGTTTAATACTCCAGGCTTCTCTCTGTCTAAAGTTATTGACAGCAGATTACTGTTGTTTTTATTGCTAGTTTGATTTTAATTTTTTAGTTGAAAATGATATGAGAAGTCTGGCCAAATCTTTTTTTTTTTGTACTCATAAAAAAGACATCTATGGCTTCATTTCAAAGCATGAATTTTTAAAAACTATTTCAGATGAAATCTTCCTGCCGTTCCACTAAGGTTATAACAACATTTAAAGGAAGCTGAAAAATCCTCAAGCCTTTCTATTTCAGAGAAATATAGTTTAGAATTTGCTAGAGGCGGTTAATCCAGGTCAAGAAAGTAAAAATCATATCTAATTTTTCTTCATCCTCTTCACTTAACCACATGATTTGCCCCCAGTTTGTGTTGTAAAGCTTGAAATGCAAATGTGTGGAAGTAATTGCTCTATTGAGTTTTTACTTTCTGGACCTGGATTATCCACCTCTGAATTAAATGATATTCTATTATTAGCATTATGATAAATATTATTCATTAATTATTTTTATATCATTTTTATGAATAGGTTTTGCCTTAATCCAGTAATTCTGAGCCAAAAAGTGGCTAATCTGAATAAATAGATCGACCTTAATATTAATTTTCTGTAAACATTAAACTACATTTTGCAAAACAAATTAAATAATAAAAAAACAAGCATGTTGAATAGGAAAGCTACTAATAAACTGCTGATAATTACTTATGAAAATATTATTAATTTCAGAATTGAGATTTCAGATTTTGAGTTAGGTGGGTGTATTCCCTGTGGTTAGGGTTAGGGTTAGTGGAGATATATCAACATTTATTTATTTTTACGTCATGTAATAATCAACTGAATCCTTTTGATGTTTTAAAGCATTTACAGACCTGATATTTCAACATATTTTAAAAAGACAAACCAGATAAACAAAAGTGGATCTTTTCAATGTGGTAATTGATTAAGTCTTTCATTAAGTAGAAGTTTAATATTAAAACATTTATAAGAAGGAAATGGCACTAAGTTTAGTGCAAAATTACAATGCAGTTCAAATTAAATAAGCAAGATCTTGACAACATCTAGTGTGATGTTTGGCGATAATGTCTTAATTAAGATAAAAGTGCAAAAAGTAACAGACTAGAAGTTGTTATATGTTAGCTAATATAAAGTGGGTTACAGAATTTGACCTTTTCATTACATGTAACGTTTTTCAGTTTATTTCTGAGATGTTTAAATCTACCGATAAATGTAAATTTATTAGATTTTTTTTAAAGAAAATTCAATTATTTTTTTTTTTTTTTTTTTTTTTACATTTTATGAAAAATGCTTATTTTTTCTCTGCATGGCATAAGAGTTAATGTGGTACTTGGACTCAGTAACATCATCTCAGCAGATCGCTTATGGTTGTTTGGAGCACAGCTTAAAGATAAACCTTCCTTAATCTTTAAAGATAACAGGTTAAATAAAACAGATTAAAAAACAAGGTGTTGTTCCTCTAAAACAGCAGTTTCAGTAAACAAATCTATCAGGATTTGCTGCTGCTAACTTATCTTAATGTCCTTCCATTTAGTTCAGCCTAAGCAAATGAGTATTTGTGCTAGATCTTAGTTTCTCAATATCTTTGAATTTTGAAGTTTTTCTATAAAATGCTTCAAAATTCAAAAGTACTTAGTAACCAAAACAACAGTTTGATTAACGTCTGCACATATTTGAATAGTTCAGAGCTTAGAATGTATAAAGAAGACATTTATCATCATTAACTGCCTTAAAGTGGTGTCACTAACTCTTCTTCCAGACAAAATATAACCTTACCATTATTTTGGGAGGAACAAAGTCATCTCCTTCACACGCCATCCTCTCCATCTCCTTCTCCTCCTCCCAGTCTAGGGCATCTTCAAGCGCTCCATCTTCCAGGGCATTAATGGGAGTCTGCAGGTCTCCACCTGGAAAACAATACGGCACAACGCTGAGCATTGAGATCTGGGGTAACCGGATGCCTACAGAGATGTTGGCTGAGTGGTGGGCAGTCAGCGAGGTGGCAGAGAGATAATTAGGGACAAGGGACCAAATCAGAGGGGGTGGATGAAGGGGAAAGGATGGGGATGTTAATAAGGATGACAAAAACATGAGGAAATAAACAATACTTGGGGGAAATAACTTCAAGTTAATGCAACCAAGGGGCTCCCAAGAACAATTTAGTGCATTTTTTTTCTTTTTTGCATGCATATTAATTCTATATTATATATATTATAGAGACAAAACCTCAAAGTCCAAGTTATAATTGTGTATTTTTTACATAAATATACCTTAAATTATGCAGAAGTCATTACTTATAAATATATCTTTGCGTAAGAGTGACCTGCAGATGAAGGAGAAGTCTGATAGTAATGAGAAAGCAAAGGCTTCAGAGATAGGAAACCTTCCACACATCCTAAAGCACAGATGATCTCATTTACTCACTAAACTCTGAAGGTGAGATCTTTCGTGCCAATTTTTGCGAAGCTCTGATGATAGCCTGCACACTCACTCTTGCATCTGCAGAGCAGAGCTTTTCCAAATTCAAATGAATAAAGGATTGCCTGAGATCTTCCATGGCTGAGAAATAATCAAGCCAGCGGGCAGTTATTAGCATTAACAAAAAAGTTGGCTGCAGGATCTCCGTGATGTCATCAGCAACTTTCAACAAGCTGAGAGAAGACTTTAACACATCTCACATTTACATAGGGGAGAAGGTTTGCCTTTTTTTTTTTTTTTTTTTTTCCTCCATGTGCTAAAAACATTCATAAAGGAGCAACATGTGTTAATCATAGGGTAAATCTACAAGCAGAATTAAGCAGCTAATTTTAGGTAGGCTACAGGAGCAGACAACCACACCAGTTAAACACCTGCAATTATCATGTAATTTATGAAAGATTATCCTGCATCAGATGCAGTCCTTTATTAGACATATTAGTGTGTTTCTTTTGTATTTTTAATAAAGGCTGTTTCCCTACATGACTTATGATGAGATCAGAGCTGCAGACTTCTATCAATGTTTATGATGCAAAGGAGTAATGTATCTGAAAAATTATCTTAAAAGACGTTTTCTTTGAAAGTAAGTGCAGTAGAGGAGAGATGAAAGCAGCCTTAAACAGGTTGCTCTGTTAGAGCTCTTTCAAACTGTAGAGTTTGAAACATTAAGACACATAATAGGCTTTTATTTCACCTATGGAAAGCTTCAGTTTTGTCAGCCACAGTCAAGCATCTGCTGTAAGACTAAAGCAACACTTTCACTAAATCTGGTAATAAGAAGAGAAAATGACATATTTTGATCAGAGAAAAGAGGTCTGTTTCTACATTGAAAGGTTACTTTTCTCTTATTTGACAGCTAAATACCAAAACATGTCTGTTGCAGCTTAGGATGAAACATAAATTAGGAGCAGATTTCAGAGTGAAGCACATATTTTTAGTTTGAAATCTTGAGACACGCACAGAGCACAGATATAGCTACTTATCGGTTACCAGAACATGTTCAGAGTAGAAACCAACCAAGCAGAAGCTTTGGGGCTCCAGATCAACAGGGATCCCCCCAACAGCATTTAAATCTAGACAGAATATTGATATCAAAATGTCTGATTCTGATTCATAGTTATGTTTGTCTATAATAAGACATTTAAAAGGTCTGAGGGTTAAAAATGTAATCACAATTTTAGAATAGTTTAGAAAGTCTTTTAATTTATTTTTCCATAAAAAAAATGTACCGTATTTTCACGACTATAAGGCGCACTTAAACGTCTTTTTTTTTCCTCAAAATGTGCGGTGCGCCCTATGGTGCGGTGCGCCCTATGTGTGTTGTAACTGCGACTTTTGAGACCACCTCATTGAGGAGATGATGAAAGAGTGGCTGAATGTAAGGAGACCAGGTGTTTTTTTTCCACCCCTCACCATCGCTGTTAATATGTAACTCCATGCGTGCCCATCTCACAGCTGATGTGAAAAACATGGGGAAACAAATTAACGCTGCTCGACATCGGTGTGAACCGGACCCAGCAGGTGCAGCAGAAGCAGCGAGTTTACATGCAAAGTCAATGGTTGACGCGCATATAGGTGCAGCAAAAGGTCCCGCAGCGCATTTTGGTGCAGCACGTCGGGAGCGTTTAAGCATCTGAAGCGCCGCGCTTCTGCTGCTCGAGATGGAAAAATTGAAGTTTTGCTGCTGGACGCGCCGCATCAACCAATCAGAGAAGCTGATCTGGGAGCTGCCAGCGAGACAGACACAGCGCTCTGATGACATATGATATTAACGCAAATGGAAAAGGCTGGATGGATGCGTGGCTGAGGCAGGTGTATGTGAGAAGACTAGGTGGTTTTTTCCACGCATCACCATCGCTGCGTGCCCATCTCACAGCCGATGTGAAAAAAAGGTGAATCAAATGAACGCTGTGCTCGCCGTTATCCCGGGGGTCTGACAAAGGAGCTTCAACCGCTCGACATCGGTGTGAAGCAGCCGTTCGAAGTAAGGCTGCGAGCGGCGTGGGAGCGATGGATGACCGACGGAGACCACAGTTTCAGGATAAGAAGGCAGCGCCGGGCAGATTACGCCACCGTTTGCGGATGGATTGTAGATGCTTGGACTAACGTGTCTGCTGGCTCTGTTGTTCAAGCTTTCGCAAAAGCCGGCATTATTTCTGAGGAGCCGCGCTGCACGGAAAGTGACTGACAGCGAAGAAGGGGAAACTGGCATGTCTGATTTAGCGCAGCTGTTTAATTCAGAAACAGAGGATGATGACTTTGATGGGTTTGATTAATACTTTGTAATAAATACATGAATAAAGCACAATCATACTCAGTTTTGCTCCCGCTGTATTTTTCTCCCTGAAAGCTTAATTCAATGGCAGCCTCTGAGCGCGTCTCCTCCTCTTCATCGCGGTGGCTGGCAGGTGTTTTTTCATCTAAATAATCTAAATCTTGCAGCTATATTTGCTGTGATCAGTGGGAATAAAGTAGTTTTAATATGTTTTTAAGTGAGAAAGTCCACCTGAAAACTTAATAATTGCAGTCAGTTCATCCAGATTATCTATTTCTGTCGGAGGCGCTCAGACCCCCACATACCAGCGGTGCGCTGACAGCAGAAATCTCTTCATCAGCAGCCTGTAGGCTGGGGTTCACCGTGGCTGCTGGCAGGTGTTTTTCATCTAAATAATTTTAGCTGCAGGCACCAGGATACCGGCAATAAAAGCGAACATATTCCGTCAGCAGGTTTCAGGATTTTAAGTTAATTTAGGAGTGATCACAGCTCTGTCATCTGCGATGTCTCTGTCTCACGGCCAGCTGCCAGGTTTGATTAATACTTTGTAATAAATACATGAATAAAGCACAGTCATACTCAGTTTTGCCCCCGCTGTATTTTTAAATACGCAGTAGAGGTATTTAAAGGTAGTAGAGGACTTGTACCTGTATATAAAAAACGCGCCCTATAGTCCGGTGCGCCTTATGTGTGTGTTAAATACAGAAATGGGACACATAACTGAGACTGCGCCTTTTAGTCCGGTGCGCCTTATGGTCGTGAAAATACGGTAAGCTTATTTCTTAAATCAAATTGATAGTTTTGTTAGTTGTATTTTAATGTTTAAATGTTTTAATCGTCTCTGCATCAGATGCATTTCATTTGCAGCACTTTACTGCAAGTAAATCATAATAATTATCAGATTATTTTTTTCCTGTGGCTTCCTGTAAGCACTGTTGGTTATGCCTGACATATATGTCCTTGTATTCTGACTCTATCAAGTCTGTGTTTCCTGATATGCTGTTTATTTATCTGACAAACTGAGGTCAGTAGTACCCAAAAGATTTTATACAAGTCATAAATAACTTCTATAAAGTAATTTAAATTATATTTATCTCTGTTTATTCCTATACTGTAAAACCTTTTTAGATGCAAAGAATTACAAGCCATCTAATTTCTTCTGTTTTGTTTTGTCATTTTAAGTAATATTCATTACATATATCATAAAATGCAATCGATGAAGCATTAAATAATGAGAATGGCAACAGTTGAAGAACAGGAAGATGTAAGGGGAAAAAAACAACAACAATGTAGAATCCTGTTTAATAGCATAAAATACATCAGAAGTTCAAAAAAAGCATCAACCATCAAATTTGAACGTCTTCATTTGGTTTATTTTATTACATTTTACACAGAAACAGTGATGGAGGTTGGTGGAAAAAAATAAAATAAAATAAACCAGCACAAACTGGAACATCAGTGCACACAAACAGCATGCAAACATTTTGAGCTGGCACATACTGTATGCAGAACCCTACAGAGGCACAAAAGACACACAACTCTAACAGTAACATTTCTAACGGTTAAAACAATCGGACTTGAACACACACTCCAATGTGGAGGACATACTCACAGAACGAGAGAGCATCACAAAATTGAAGAAAGACCCACGACCAGAGGGAGACAGATGGACAGGGTCAGAACCAACAGCAGAGACAGTCAGTTTGTACGTGTGACTGTGTCATTAATGTGCGACTTGTTTCTTTTCTGTAGTGTTAGTTGATCTCCATCAAGATGTAAGTTGTGATGCCAAATGCTAGATCATTATAAGGAAGACCTGCAGAGCAGATTGCTCAGCACTGTCTCTTGTTGAGAAGAAAGGCACAATACTGAGCTCCCTCTAGCTTTTTGATTTAATAATTATTTAGAAGATGCTGAATTAAAACTGTTATAACACTTTTGTATCAGACAGACAAAATGCATGTTAAAATCAAAAGGTACGCTGCAAACAATCTACGATAGAAATAAGTCAAAAATGTTCTAAATCTATCTACGGTTAATTTAATTAGGTAAATAGGATGATTTGCTAATGGAATTACTATTATTACCCTTGAAATGTGATAATTAGATAATATTTACTTGAAATAAGACAATGCAATTGTTTTTACTTATTTTAAATGCAAATTGTTTTCTTCCATTGGCAAAGTATTTCACTTACCTCCTCAATTCAAGAAAAAAATGCACATTTTAAGAAAAAAAAACTAAATTTCGATTTTTCTTTTCCAGCGTAGTCTAACATTTTACAAGTTGATCAAAGCTTTGTTTATCTTTATCTTTTGATTTTAAATATCAATCAGTCAATCAGAAATTAAATATATTTTAAATTAACAATAAAAAACATTGTTAATCCTTACATTTTGAGCCTGTACCTATTATTTATTTTATTTGACTGACCCTCACAAAATAGAAGTAAAAGCCCCATTTATGGACAATATCATTAAGTGCTTTAAAAAACACAATTAAAACGACAGATCAAAACAAGATGATAAAAAAGTATAAAAGAAAATATATATATATATTTTAAGATCATAAGGAAGGACTGTTTTTGTGAGAAATTCTTCAGGTGTGACGACCAACTGGGGAGTCAAAAGAAAAGGACATTTGGGGGAATATGTTCAAAAATATGTTCATGTGTGTCCATGTGAATTGGAAAATTGTGATCCATTTATTTACCCTTATACGACTCAACCCTTCCCTATTTTCCTGTTCAATTATTTAGTTATTGCAGCTCCACACAATTATGGAAAAAGCTGAATGTCTTTTTTTAACCAGTTTTAAAGATCTACATATTACATTTTTAAAGAATTCTTTCTTGAGAAAAAGCTAAAGCTTCGTCGGACCTGATAAAAAAAATATCAAGAAATAATTATTTTCAACCCTTCTCAGCTGTTTAAGATATGGATTTTAATTTGGCCATTCTAATGTTTGAAAAATATTTAGATGTTTACTAAATCCACCAGCAACTTAAGTCTCCAATAACATCCAAGAAGTTTAATTCTAGTATTGGCCCATCGTTAGCTCTGCCCCTTTCCCCATCATTCTGACTAGTATACCTGTACCCCATCCCCAGTGGGTTGGTGCATTTAACATTATATTAAATCTTGCTTTTCCATTTTAATTAGCATTCGAAAATGTTTTTATTTACTGTATCAAAAATGGTTATTTATGTTTATTTTAAACAATTTCTTTCCTTATGCAAAAGCAAGTTTATATATAAATATGTATGCACATTATGGTTCCTTTTGTTTGTTTTTTATATTGTCTCTGTAAAGTGCTTTTGTGATGGTGTGTGTGTTTTTTTTTTTTCCTTTCACTTAACTAATTATTATTCCCAAAAAATCCAGGTGAAGAATTTTTAGGGGCTTTTAACAGACAACATGTGAACCGATGCCAGAAGAATGAACCGTTCAGTAAGACACTGCATAAATAGCCTTAAAGCTACAAGTGTTATTGTTTTTTTTTTATTTACATTATTATAATAAAATAATTATATATTATATAATTAATAAAAACAAAATATAGGTGGATCCAGTGAGATATAAATAAAAAAGGAAAAAAAAAGTTTAAATGGTTTTAACCCTGGGGGCAGTATAAACAAACCATCCGGTCTGAGTTGGATTTACAAGGTTTAAAAACCTTTGCCTTGAAATCTATATTTATAGCTAGGATTTAATCAATTACTCTCTTATTTAAAATTTTTACAACAGTTTGTGATTCCTCATGTTGCTTTTTGGATCCATGTGCACACATGAGCATGTATGTGTGTGTTAGTCCTTGTGAACTCACTGTCTTTTGCCTCATGAGGAGAATCAGTCTTGACTGGGGTGGGGTCACTCCAGGAACGGCTGAAACTCTTGGATCTACGCTCAGCGAATGCTGGTACAGGTGAGGAGAGAGAGTCACACACGCATGCTCACACTCACACTGTGTAGTACACGCGCAGGAAGGCCTGCATGGCTTTTCCATCAATGCAAACACCAGGAAAAACAAGCAAAAGTGCAAAGACTGCAGCAAAAACCAGAGCACAGATATAAAAAGCACAAAGTGCAAAACTCTTCTCCACAAATGCAAAAACTGCTTACATACAAAACCAACAAACAAATGAGCACACAAACAGCACACAGTCATCCTGCTGCTCATTATTATTCATAATGTGTATTTAAAGGGGTGGGGGGGGGGATCCTATTGGTGTGCAATTCAGGTCTTATATATTTAAAGCTTCCAAGTAAGTGGTGCCTCATTTCTATTTCTTACAATCTGCACTGATGAATCAAATCATGCATATCATTTACTTATATCGTGACAGCATAAGGTCATTTCCTGACTGATGCAGTTTGATGTAATTCTTGAGGAGCAGCTAAACAGATCAGGACATGTGAAAATAATCTTTTTCTTTAATCATTTTCATGCCATGTGTTTTTGTGGCTAAGGCTGTACTCTTTGCATCTGCTGGGGTTAAAGGGTGTGCTTCCTTCTGTTGCTTGCTTTGCGCATTTAGTGCAGAAATGAAGGAAAGTAGGGTTTAATAGTTATGCAAAAATGTAAAACAATCAACAACAATTTGTGTTTAATCACAAAGCTTCTAGGATTTAGACTACTTAGAAATTAGTTACTGGATCAAGATGAAATGCTTTTTAAATAAAGGTTTTTCTTAAAAATGCAAATTTTTATATTCAAGCATTTAGATGTTTTGAATTGAGTAAATATATAACTTCCATCTGCAGTTTTGAAACGGGTCTTTATTTCTCATTAAAAATGTTTTCCCTAAAGTGATACACCATCAGATAATGTGTTTCAAGTAAATGGCATTTCAACTAAAGCTCTGCATGGATTTATAGGAAGTAAACATCCAATAATTCTTTTAGCTTTAGTCTGGAAAGGAGAAATCTTTAATTTTAGAATGTAAATAACAAATACAGCAATGATTATTTAATTGGCTGTGTTCAATTTGACATCAGTCTCACAATTTGAACAGGCCCATACCTTGTTTTGGTAGAAATAATATCTCTAAATAACAAACTTAGCATGCTGCTAAGTTATATGTATGCACATGAGTCTATACATGTGTCTATAATTCTGTAAATAAATTTATATAGTAATAGTATTTAGCTTGATAACTGAGGTAATTCAGCTGCTTTTCTAAGGGTGAAAGAGGTTTAACATGATTATAGGGCATAATTCTCCCTAAAACTGTTTAAATAAGTTGTTCAGCCAGTTCAGAATTACAGCATATTTTCCTCTAAATATTGATAAAAGAATCTGCTATGATAAATTTATATTTAAATATTTACACATCGAAATTAAAACCATAAAATGTTAGGAAACTATCACTTAAATGATGAAAGAACAAAAAAAAAAAAAAAAGGCTTGGTCAATGACCGGACGATTAGCGACGGCCTACTGCCTACTGTTGCTTTTGAGCCAATATATATAAGGCACAATATAAGGAAATTAAATGTAATATAAGGCACAATAAACAGGAGTCTCTTAGGTTAAGAAAAAAAAAAAAACTGCACATAATGAAAAGATTCAAATGTCATGAAATGATGAAAGCTTTTTATAATCATCTGATTTTCCTTATCGCTCACCTCTATACACTGGTTATGAACGGAGAAAAACATTGACACATTTATTAATTTTGATTTGTAAAATACAAAAGAACCGTTTGAATGGAAAAATATTGCACTATGAACTATAAACCCATATGGTACTTTAGTAGTTTGTACATCTAGTCATTTCAAATGTCCCACTGTGAGTAAATGTATATAATAATACTCTGCCAGCTACGTACTGCTACCTCTGCTCCATGCAGATGTTGCTTAGATCAGACAATAAAAGAAAAGGATTCAAGATCCTAGGGGTGATCGTGCTGCATTCAGAGCACCATTGCTACAACATTTAATGACCAAGTTATGTCATTAAGCAGCGCTGAATAAAAGGAATGGAAATATGGTGAACAGCCTTTAGGGCTAAACTTCACAGATGACTGTTACAACAGAGGCCAGAAAAAAAAAAATAAGCTAAAGTACAAAAATCCCTTTTGGTAACATATAGAAGAATTGAAATGAATTGAATTGAATTGAATTTACCAAGTTAACTTCATAATCAGCTTGATTAATTGTGGTGGGACATCTTGGTTAGGTGAACTATGGTAGGTCCTGATTATCTCGAGTGGATTTAGTGGAATTTATTGCTTAAGTGATCAACCAAACTTTATTTGAATTACAAAGAAGCGTTATAATTTTAAGAAAATTAAGTTCATCGCAATAATTCATTAGAAAGCATCTAATATACATATATAAATATAAAATATAAATATATACACGATGTTCTGTCTAATAGGTTTCAGATTTTGCATAATTCAGATTTCGTCCAAATCATTTTATTTAGAATCAAATGTTCACAGTGCATCAGCTTTATGGTTGTGTGGAAATAAAAAATTGTAAGGACTGTATTATTTAATCATGTTTTCAGCATATTTTGGTTATTTTAAATACAACTGGCACAAGACAACCCCCCCTCCCCCCAAAAAAACAATAAAAAAAAGATTTTATATTTACATTTCCTGCTGTCTGATAAGCTGAAGATTTCAAAGAAAATATAACTTTCAACCTTCTCTATTTCTAAAAATATGTAAGTTTGCTTTATTTTGCAATTTACAACAACCAAGGAAAATACATTCAAAGAGCGCATATTACATGCACACAGGTCCAACCATGCGAACACTTGCCTTATTGATATTTTCAACATATAAATTTGAAAAAGTAGGGAGAACGAGTAACTTTTGTTTTCACATACATGCAACATAAAGGTTAAGAACAGAAAAAAAAGGATGATGGTGGGGTGAATAATATCACAGTCAAATTGAACAAACATATCAACTGCTTACATACACACAGATCTGACTCACTCTGCGCTTTAATCCTCCTGCTGCCCACCATCCGAAGATGCTTCCGGAAGTTCCTGTGGGTAGTCGGATCATAGTGGAGGAGGGACATCGGAAGACAGAGGATGGAGGACCACAACGTGAGGAGGAGAAACAGGAAGGGGTAGGCGGGTGGGAGAGCCGGGCAAAAAAAGAAGAAGACAGGAGTTAACTGTTGAGACCTTCTTAAAGGTTGAAAAGCGACTATTAGGTAAATAAAGTGTGTATATTTTGTTGTCAGCATGAGCAGAAAATAGGGTTGACAGGCAGAGTGGGTGTAACATCCTCTGTTATTACTGTGTCGGTTAAAATGTGCTGTATAAATAATTTTGACAGCAACATCTATTCTTGTGTAAACATCTGAAAGTCAGGAGGTTATTCATGCAGCAGCTGAAAGGAAAACCCTTTTTATTCAGATGTCGCTGTGTTGGTGGAGGATCTTCCTCTTACACAAAACATACTCCAACTCCAGATAGTTTTCCTCTCTGACACATAAGAAAACCAGTAGGCTGAAAATAATCTGGCTCTGATATGTATTTTATTTCATGCACTGAAAGTTTTGTTGTTTTGTAATTCTGCTTCTTTGCATAGATCTGAATAATTTCTGTCACAATCAGAAGCTTTTATTATCTAAATATTGAAATTGATCTGTTAAATCTCTCAATAGAACCAAACATTTAATATTTAAAATATTAAATTTTCCTCCTATCTTTAATTTTCATTGAACATGTACCGTATATCCAGTGCAATAACCTATAATAATGTTCTTATTGAGACTGTAAGAAGGCTATGAATGGATTATTACTGCTTTATGATGATGTTTTGATAAGATGAGGTTCATTCGGTAAAGTAACTCATAAACTCATCATAAACTTCCACTTATAATTCTCAGCTATTGCTGCTATTAAAATATCAAACACTGTTTACTGTATTTCATTTGACCTTCATTTAACCAGGTAGTATGTTAGCGAGATCATCAAATCATAGTTTATGGAAATACACAATTAGAACATAAAATAGTTATTATAAAAGGAAAATAACATGTTTAGAACTAGGTTATTAAAAAAAAAAACAGGTAGATCTAAAATTAATAGTCAAAACTTGTAATTAAGATTTAAAAACACTGATGATTATATGATTTCCTCCTATTAAAGGTTTAAAATTATAACATTTATATCTGAATGTAAAGAGATATCTATATTTTTTGTGTTGTTGTGCTCATCAAAAACAGATCTAGTTTAAGTGAGGATCTTCTCCCTCATTCGCTTTGTATTGAGAAACACCTTAAGATAAAGGATTCATGTTTTCAAGAACTAAAATTTTATGAGGTTTGATAGAATGAATCTACTACTAACATAAGAATTTGCGTATAAGGAGCCCCAATTTCCTACACATTCCACATTGGGAGCATATTTCAAGTATTACATTGTTTTTAGAACTACAGTAAGGCTCTGGAGCTTCAGGACATTGTATTTTAAACTATGTCCCAAAGTAACACATATCCGATAAGATGGCTACTCTTGATGAGCTTACAGAAATTTTGATAAATTATTTTTAAAAAAGAGTCCAAAAAAATGTGGATTAATTCAAATACATATTTAATCTTAACGGGAAATAGTAATGCAACTGAACAAAGAGTGTGCTTCATATTTGCACACAAAAAATATGAGTGCATTAATCTTGTAGAGAAGGGGAACCTATGAGTTTAAGTGTAAAACCCTAGGATCAAAAAAGTATTTGCAAGAAGAGAAACATCCTGACAAAAGACGGACCCCCGCCATTAGATCACATTTTACGCAGAATTTTCCCCAAGCTGTTCAGCTGCTTATATCTCAATAACCTGCTAGCATGACTTTTTAGAACTGAAGGCGGAAACTGTATCTTAAGAGCAGTATCATCTGACAGGCAAATGTTATCAATTCTAACATTACTTTCGTAACTATTATACAAATCTACTCATTTCATACGCTTATGTGCAGCATATGTTAGCATTCACAGTTTGCATTGTATTAGCCAGAAAACTGCATGATTCTTTTCCTGATACATTTTCTGTTTGCAGGGTTTTGCATTATTGTTTGCAACTTAATGTGTCTATTAGCATCTTTAAAATCAACAAAGGATTTTATTAGTTTTTCGCCATATCACTTGCTGCCAGAATTTGACATAATGTTTTATGCAAAAGCTCCAGATAAACATCCTTTCGTCTTTCAGAGCCCCTCCCATGTCGCCTCTACACAGGTATCCAAGCACCAAGCAACTAGCCAGCACTCATTATTAATGGCCTCTGCATGGGGCTGTGTGAGAGTGGGAAGTGTGTTTATCTGATGGTGGAAGGGAGCGTTAAAGGAGAGAAGACATTTTTATTTACTTTCTCTGTTGTCAGTTTACCTCCAAGGGATTGAAAATTTAAGCTGGTGCAAACGGACTAAAAAAGACATACTTTTAAATTACCTGCTAGTGCAGTTGTTGAAATATTACTAATTATTTTAATGACTTAACAGCGTTAGGAATGATTAAAAAAAGTCACATATAATTAAAATAAATTATGTAATTGAATTAAAACTAATGGGACTCTTCTGAGATCTTTTTTGTTACTTTGTCACACAAAAACACAGGATTTATTTACTACAGTTAAAATAGCAATAGAAGGTATAATATTTTCATTCTAAGCTTAAAAGGACGAGATGAGATCATGCCTGCAGGGCTGGGTTACCCACAGCATGTCTAGCTGCTGTGTAGAATAATAAGTGTGACTATCAGTCCCGAACAGGCAGTTCGCTTTTAGCCTCTTGTCACTTTTCACCGCTTCACAAAGAACTCTACTTTTTCTAGTCTGAGAATGAAGTTAGATTTAGTTAAATTAAGAAATGTGTGAATAAACATGTCTGCTTAATTTAAGAGCATTTAAGGTGTGTTTTATTAACTTAGGAATATTTTGTGGCACACCCTTGCTGTCTAGCAAAACACGTTAACATTTGTTTTCAGTCATTTCAGTTTTCCTTTCAAGAATTTAACATAACAGTGTTTCTTTCAAGAAATCAATTTTTGTAAAGTGCGATAGTCCTGGCAGCAGCAAGCCATCCACATGTGATCCCCCACCATACTTTATATGTGGGATGGTTTTCCTTAATAGTGATTGGCAAACATTATAATTTTGGTATCAAGTGAATCTGTTTTTTTTTTATTTTTATGGGCGTTTAATTTTAAATCTATCTTTAAATTCTGCTTCTGTAGTTATTGCTTCTTCATGGCTGAGTGGCATTTAAGCCCATATTAAATTGACATCTTCACTATTTTATTGTTTCTGGGAAAATGTTCACCTTAGAGACCCAAACTTATACCATGCTGTTAAAAACAACAAGATGTTATTCTTTTGTTTAACTAAAAAAGGTTCAGAATAAAGCTAATAAAAAGCTTTAAAAGCCATAATGACGGGCTTCCCAAAAGAAAACCTATTGTTCTTGTAGTACATGAAATAGAAAAAAGCTCCATCATATTTTCTGTCATTCCAAAAATTGAATAAAATTAGGTAATCATAACTGACTTAAAACAGGAGAAGAATTAGTCTAAGCTTCAGAGAGTGATAAGCAAAATGTTTTTTTTTTATAAATATGTAGCTGCAACTGTGTATGTTTTGGGAGCATTGTAAAAGATAAGGTCACACTAAAAAGAATATAGATTGAAATGTTTATAGGTTATATATTTTTTAGGAGGATTTGCATGGATATTGATTTGAAATATCCTCCATTCTTATGGATTCCTTCAATATTACATTTTATTGCGAGACAAACTGCTGGAATCATACATGTTTATGATAAATGCCATCATTTTGTTATAGAATAAAACTGTAGCGTAGCTTTGTTCCCAGCTGAAATGCATCCACCTCTTTCATTTATGTTCAACAGTTAAATACAGTTAAGTACATTTAATGCATTATTCCTTTAACACTGGCAGAGAAGTGTGGCAATATTTCAGATAAAGACAGAGGATCTCCTACTGGAACCAGCTGTTCTGTAATTTATTTACTTGCATCTCTTATCACATTTTGATCTGGTTTTTGACACTGAGAGAGAAAAAAAGAAGCCGTTTGATTATTCCAGGGGCTTTGTCCATGGAGGTAAATTATCCTATAATTCAGTCAGAATGTGGATGATGTTTGCAAGGCCGTTCTGAGGCTTTCTTGGGTGCACTTGACCTCCCACTGTGGATGCAAGCCGGCAACTGTTTTCAATGGGGAGGTAGTGGAGGTTTATATTTTAGTTAACAGCATATCAGGGACCAAGGTGGCACCTTTGAATTAATTCCTGCGCACATGTGCATGACATTAGGCAGACTAATTAGGGCCAGACCAGGCTGGCAGAGTTTCCACATAAGGAGTAAAAAAAACCCAACAAAAAACAAGCAATGGCTGCTAAGGTTAATAAAATTACATTTAAAAAGGCCACAGGGCAACCTATGAAATCTTCTGGCTTCAGAACCTCACTGATTGGCTTATACGGGGTTTGCTTTTTTCCATAATTCCTTTGGCTTAAGTGTGGTCCATGCTGCTCAGCACCCAGTAGAACCAACACACCTACAGCTGTACATCAAATAAAACGTAAAAGTGTAGACTTTGTTTTCCCGTCCTTGGTTTAGGCTTAAACAAGTATTTATAGGCCACAGTTTATAGACAAAGGGCCGGATCTATCAAAGGTTTGCGTGTATAAAAACGTGAGCTATTTCACTGCGCACGCTAAAAAATGTACAAACTGATCTATCAACAGCGTGCTAAAAGGATTTGGTCTTTAAAACGTGCTAAATAGCGCCTCTTATCCATTTAGTACTTTTTCTGCAATGAATATGCAATATGGGGCGTTTACACGCAAAAGTGCGTCTTGTGGGAGGAGAACATGTAAATATATTAAAATTGGATCTTGATAAATCCGGCCCAAAGTGCGGACATCTCTGCTAGCAGAAAATAGAGATGCAACATACATTAACATTTAAACAACATTTAATAAAAAGTTAGATTATGGATCATCTCTGCTGCATCATGTCA